AATTCATTGAAGCGTTTTGAATACCTCCCATGTGCCAGACACTGTGCTAGGACCGGCGGGGACAATGGCAGAGGAGGGGGTCGCAGCCTGCCCTCAGGAGCTCATGTTGTAGCAGAGCTGAGGACTCACCCAGGGAAACAGGGACAAATATATTTGGAGGAAAAACATATACACACACACACACATATTTACATGTATATATATCCAAATATATATATATATTTCCAAAAAACATACATGTATATACATGTATATTTCCAAGTATATATGTATATATCTAGATGTGTGTGTCTATATATATATATATATAATATATATATGTAGACATACACATCTATAACGATACATTTGGAAAGGTATATTGGGGTGTGGAGGAGTTGACTAGAGATTTCACACCTCAGCCATTGAGCGATGGGCAGCCATTTAAGGCTTTGGAACACAGAAGTAATTGGATAAAAGTGCTTTTTAGGAAGGTGTGATGGTTAAGATTGCGTGTCAGCCTGGCTGGGCCACGATTCTCAGTGTTTATATGTGATCACTTCCATGATTGAATCTGCTGTGAGTAGCCAGTCAGTTGAAAGGGAGTTTCTTTGGGGGTGTGGCCTGCATCCTAATATAAGCAGGCATTCTGGCTTTTTGCTCACTTTGGATCCTGCAGCTGCCTCCTGTCATCTCACCTCCAGTTCTGGGGACTTGAGCTAGCAGTTTACCTGTAGATCTTGGAATTCATCAATCTTCACAGCCTGCAAGCAAGAGTCCTGCTCCCCAACCTGCTGATCTTGGGTTTGCCAGCCCCTGCAGCTACATGAATCAGGAGAAACTTTGCAGTCTTGCCTGCTGATCTTGGAATTTGTCAACCTTCACAGCCTGTGAGCAGGAGCTCTGCTCTCTGACCTTGCAGATCTTGGGCTCACCAGCTTCTGCGGCTATATGAATTGGGAGAGGCCTCTACTTTGATCCACGGACTTGGGACGTTCTAGCCTCTACAATCGCGTGAGCTGTTTCCTTGATATAAATCTCTCTGTATATATTTATAGGCTTTACTGGTTTTGCTTCTCTAGAGAACCCAGCCTAAGACAGAAGGCTAGTGTACCATCCATGGAAAGGATGGACTGGCAGAGGAGAACTACTAGAAAATGGGAGATGAATTCATAGACTGTTCCATGCATCAACATCTGCTGCATGCCCAGTTCATTTCCTTAATAGTCTTTGGTGCATGCCATGCTGGGCACTAAAGCTACAGAGGGAAAGGGAGGAGGCACTGCTGTGTCCCCTTAGACTGCACATTCTGGCACAGCAGACAGACAGTAGATCAGCGCAGCTTGTGATGCCTGCCATGAAGGAAATGATCAGGGAGGAGAGAGGACCTGCCTAGAGATGGAGGATGGGGAAGATCTCACCACAGAAGCCTGAGGGGCGAGGAGAGCCAGCCATGCAGAGCAGAGGCACTGCCAATCCCCAGCTTCCCCCTTATCCTAGTGGCTCAGGAGAAGCAAAAGGGTGTGCAGATGCCCAGCAATGACAAAGACGCTTTGAGGAAGGAGGAGATTGGCAGCCATGCAGTGGGAAAGGCAGGCAGGATCCCAAAGACACTGATTCCTGCTGGCCACCAGAAGGAGTTGGGGTTTTATCCTGAAAGCAGTAGGACACTACTACCAATTGCTGTTGAGTTGATTCCAACTCAGCGACCCTGTGTGTGTCAGAGTAGCACTGTGCTCTGTAGAGTTTTTAATAGCTGGTTTTTCAAAAGTAGATCACCAGGCCTTTCTTCCAAGGTACCTCTGGGTGGACTGGAACCTCCAACCTTCTGGTTAGCAGCCAAGCACACAAACTGTTTGAACCACTCAGAGACATAACTAGTCCTTTTTAAACCCCTTATCTCCAGTAAGTTATCCCCTGGCCTCTGGCCAAGATATAAATGGGCTTGAAAATTTTATTTAAGAAGGCACCTCTACTGTAAGTATTATGTAGCCCTGAAAAAAAATGCAGAATAAGTACTAGGAAGAATCATCATGGCACTTGGTCAGTGCTTTCGGCATGATTGATTGGTATTTGGGGACCATGCTCAGGCTGCTGTGTGGCAGTGAATTGGAGGGGCAGGTGTTGGAAGCTGGGGACTAGTTAGGAGATTGTTGTGACCTTCCACACCACACCTCGCTGTAACTCAGGACCAGGAGGGGATGGTCCCAGTGGGAATAAACAAGGAACCCCAATGCAAGGAGTGCAGGAAGAAGTAAATGAGGACTCTGTGGATGATGGATGGATGGATAGATGGGTGGGTGGGTGGGTGTGGATGGATGGAGTGAGTGAGTGAGTGAGTGGACGACCAAGCCTGTGCCACGTTTTCCAGGCTCAGTGACTGGAAGGACCTGTCTCCTCATTGCAAATGCTTAACACATGTTATTTCCTTTCCCTATTCCCATTCTTTTCTGCAACTCTGAACAAGACCTTTAGAGGTCTTTCAGATTCTAAATATTTATCATTGGTTGAGCTTTTTCAGGAGCGCTGGTGGGCCAGTGGTTAAGCACTTGGCTGCTAACCTAAAAGTCAGTAGTTCAAACCCACCAGCCACTCCATGGGAGAATGATGTGGCAATCTGCTTCCGTAATGATTTACCACCTTGGAAACCCTATGGGGCGGTTCTACTCTGTCCTGTAGGGTTGCTACGAGTTGGAATTGACTTGACGACAACGAGTTTTGAGATTTTTCTATGTGCAGCTTGCAAGATGTGTTCAACATGTCTTCTTATACACACCTCAAAACACTTCATGAGAGAGCTCTTGTTATCTCCATGTTCCAGATAAGAAAACTGAAGCTGAGCAAGGTTCATAACTTACCCAAGGTCACACAGCTTATCCATGGCAGGATCCTGGTTAAAGTGGAATCAGTCTCACTCCAAAGCAATCAAGTTTCAAGTCTCTCACATTCCCTAAGCCATGACTCTAGGACTGACCTATGACAACAGTTGCCTTTGCTGGAAGTTTTTTCAGTCATGGCCTTTGTCCCAGGCTCATGCCTCCCTATGTCCTGTATCTAGGGTGCTGAGGTCTGCCACCTAGTGGCCACTGCCTTCCATTTTCTTCTGAGCTTCTTTTAAAAAAGGAAAGTGGAGTTCACACATAGAAGACAAGCATGCATATTTATAGCATCACACCCTGTAAACAGGAAACTCCTCAGTCTTAGAGAAACTCAGCAACATAATCCTAGCATATTGCCAATGATTCCTCCTCCCATTCAGCAGACACTTAATGGGATTTGTATTTATCTGTCTATCTGGAGCAATGGTTAAGAGCTTGGCTGCTAACCAAAAGATTGGCAGTTTGAATCCACCAGGTGCTCCTTGGAAACCCTATGGGGCAGTTCTACTCTGTCCTATGGGGTCACTATGAGTCAAATCGACTCAACAGGTTTTTTTTTTTTTTCCAACTGTCTGTCTATCATCTATCTTTCTGTCTATCTTATCTATCTATCTGTCTATGAATGAATGACAGTGGTGGGCTCAGTAGTAGAATTCTTGCCTTCCATGCAGGAGACCCAGGTTCAATTCCCAGACATTGCACCTTAAGTGCAGCCATGGCCTGTCTGTCAGTAGAGGCTTTAATGATGCTATGATGCTGAACAGGTTTCAGCAGAGCTTCCAGACTAAGAAAGACTAGGAAGAAAGGTCTGGTGATGTACTTCTGAAAATCAGCCAGTGAAAACCCTATGGATCACAACGCTCTGATTCCATTGTGCATGGGGTTGTCATGAGTCAGAGTGAACTCAACAGCAGCCAACAACAACAATATATATGTATATTCATTCCACTGCAATGTAAGCATCATGAGACAAGGCTTTCTTTTGTTTGTATTGTTCCCTGATAAATCCCAAGAGCCTAGAGCAGTGGTAGCTGCAGAACAAACATGCAACAAATACTCGTTAAATGTGGAATAATGAATGCCTAGCATTTATTGCATCTTTATACCAGGCACTTAACATACTCTCACTTAATTCTACCAATGATCTGAAGAGGTAGGGACCCTCAGGATGCCCATTCTGCAGATGTGGAGAATGAGGTGCAGAGAGGATACGAAGCTGCCCAGGTTTTTAAAGAGCAGGATTTTGACTCAGGTTTTCTAATTTTCCAGAGCTAGTGTTTAACTACTGTGCATAGTACCCCCTGTGTACACCTAGTACGTCCCAGGCCCTGTGTGCAGCATCACCACCACTGGACAAGTGGTAGAGTATCTCCAGGGGAACACCAGCCATTCTCCTCCCATGTTTCGACTTTATTGAGCCGAAGTTTCCCTCCTCACAGTGCAGTAAATGAAGTGAATTCAGGAAAGGCTGGCCAACAGTGAGTCCCTGCCTCTAGCTAGCTCTGTGGCTGTTCGACCTTAGACAGTGTCCCCGAACCTCACTTTTCTCAATAGTCAAAGGAAAGACTGAGATGTGATGCCTGCCTTCCCTTCCAACTCCAACATTCTACTATTTCTGTGATTCTCTGGGAGCCGGATATGAGTGGAAGAACAGAGACCACTTGTTACTAGGCAACCAGCACCCGCCTCACCCATGTTGCCATAGTGATGAAAGTTGGGCTGATGGGATTATCAGCTCCTGCTAATTGCATGTGAGAGCTCAAGGTCTCTGTCTCTTTCTTGCTCACTCGTGCTCACCCTCTCATTCTTCTAGGAACTGTGGAGAGATCTCCTCTCCTCCACCTGCAGCCTCCCAGAGGTGCAATGGAAAGCAACTGGAAATGGAGCCTGGCTATGCCTCTTGAGTAGCTGTGTGACCTTGAGCAGGTTACTCTGCTTCTCTGGGCCTCCATTTCCTCTTTTGGAAAATGAAGGTGTTGGAATAGTGATCCCTGTCTAAGGCTCTTCCCGGGCTTTCAAATCCTGTGATGCCTGGGGAGCCTGTCAGCGGAGCGGACCACACTGTTACCAGGCAACCAGCAGGCACCCTGCCCAAGTTGCCTTGGTGACTAGATGCTGGAAGGGAGGGGAGTAGCTGCTGCGGCTAATTGCTTAATTATTTATAAGTGCCTCAAGTCCTTTTTGTTGTTTTTGTTGCTAGGGGCCGTGGGGTCACCTTCTCTTCCTCCCTCCTGCCACCCCGAGTCGCCCGCGTTACATGTTACGCAGTGGGAGAGCACGTTGGCCTGGATCTCAAGCAACCCGTGTTCTAGTCCTGTCTCTGTCATTTCCTAGAGCTGTGGCCTCGGGTAAGTCGCTTCACCTCTCGGCCTCAGTTTCTTCATTTGTAAAATGATGGGTCTGTCTGGATGACCTCCCTTTCTACTCTGTATTCTAATTCCTGCCGTCTACTTGCACAGTGGGAAGGATGAGGGAAATTTTCGTAATTTGTTACCATCTAAGGATGATTCTGAAGAGCAGTACGAATAGTTAAGTCTCTTAAATACTTCCAACAGGATGGGTGTGCAAGTTGTGCCCAGTCTTCCTCTCATTGTCTTTCACCTTAACCATGTTGCCTGACTTCTTTTATTAATCTTAAGGCTGTTTAAATTTTATTTACTTACATACCACCTACTTCCAAAATAGATTTGAGTCATTCATAGTATAAGATGCATATGTACAATCAGGCCATTAAAAGAGAAATAAGAAATAAAAAAAAAGTCAGTGGCTATCTAACCATCAAAAAGATACAAACAGGAATAAATAATATAAAAATAGTGATGTTTCTCATTAGTTAATATTGATATTGTGATTCAGCATCAAATGTAATTTTGAGCATCTGGAAGCCAAAGCAAAAAGAGAAGTATTATTCAATAAAGAAAAATACCAGACTGTTCCTACCTAGTTCTAAATTCTGAAGGGAATTTATCACATGGTGCACTCTCTTTTACAGAAACTGCAGATAAAATTTTAAATAGTCCTTTCTTGCTGAGAGTATTGTTAAAGGACCTGAGGAAGAAGTTAAACTTGACAGTTCAACTAGTTCTGAACATTAGAGAGTGAAAAATTCCCCTGTGCCAATGCTATAGAACTTTATAAAGATAAAAGTTACTTAGTAAATATAAATTTTCAGAATCAACCATTATTTATAACTCAATTATATATAAATTCATGTGACCACTCTGCAGAGTAGTTTGGCACGTGTATCAAATTTTTAAATGCACCCAACAGTTCTGCTTCTCTAAACTTATTCAGAGATAAACTTGTATAGATGAGCTAAGACATAAAAATAAAAATGCTTATGGTAGCATTATTTATAAAAGAATGACTAGAAACCATATGTTGAGGACTACTGAATTAAATTATATTACTTCTTTACAGATTACTCTGCAGACCTTAAAATGAAGTTAATCTGGGTTTTGATATAGAAAAGATATAATGTTAAGTAAAATAAGAAGGTACAGCAATGGTATAAAATGCCTCTATTTCTGTTATAAAAAAAGACATATATGTATACAGTTTACATATCTAGGTATATACTTGTATATGCATACTCACATTTTTCCGGAAGGAAACTGTTAACAGTGGTTTCTTCTGGTCAGGAAGATTGATAGTCTTGGGAGGGAGGGAGACACTATTCATTGTCTTATTTATACCATGTAAACCTGTTCAGAGTCAATAGGGCCTGGCAGTTGAAAACTTAGACTCTAAAGTCTAAACACCTGTGTTCAGATTCCAGCTCTACCACTTACTAGCTGTGTGGACTTGGGGAGGTTACTTAGCTTCTCCATGTCTCATCTGGAAAATGTTTTAATATTGTACCTTCTTCCTTAGGTTGTTCTGAGGATTACTAAGTGTAAAGTACTCAGAACAGCATGAACAATACCATGTATGTGTTTTCTTGAAAAGCTGAGTAGAAAGTAAACAACAACAGAAAATGCTGCTAACCAAAAGGACCCCTACTATCAGAGTATCAGCTGTTAAAACCAGAGAGGGACTTTATAAAATATGTCACTGCTTCCAGTATCATATGTTATATAGAAATTATGTTTGAAGCAGGGGTCTTGTTTTCATTGTTGCCATTTTAGCTGACCTTGGATACTGTCGTGGTTTGAATTAATGTTCCCTCAAAAATGTATCAGTTTGGCTAGGCCATGATTCCTGGTGCTGTGTGACTTTCCTGTATGTTGTAAACCTGGCTCTATGATGTTAATGAGGGAGGATGTATGGCAGTTGTGTTAGTAAGGCAGGACCTGATCTACAAGACTGGATTGTGTCCTGAGGCAATCCCTTGAGATATAAAAGACAGAAGTGAGCAGTGAGACAGGGGGACCTCATACCATCAAGAAAGCAGTGCTGGGAGCAGAGTGCATCCTTTGGACCGGGGTCCCTGCGCCGAGAAGCTCCTAGTCTGGGGGAACACTGATGAGAAGGCCGAGAGAGAGAAAGCCTTCCCCTGGAGCTGACACCTTGAATTTGGACTTTCAGCCTACTTTGACTATGAGGAAATAAACTTCTCTTCATTAAAACCATCCACTTGTGGTATTTCTGTATGGCAGCACTAGATAACTAAGACAGATACCTTTCAGGGAGGGAGGGCACCTATCCTAGGATTGATGGTAGGCTGTTGCCACATCTGTGAAGCCCCTGAAATGATCTTGTTTTGTAGCTCCTCTTCTTGTCCATCCAGCAAGTGCTCAAATTAGGCACAATGTTTGCAAGGCCAGGTAGAAGATCTATGAGGAGACACAACTCCACGTCCTCAGCTGTTAAAAACCAGAGAGGGACTGTCCAGAAACTGAAGCTTCGAGAGGATGTCCATGCACATGCCGGTTATATGCATGAGATGTGTGTTCACACCCTTCTCCTTTCCTTTTGAAAAAGAGAGTGACAGAGAGGGGCCGTGCTACAGTGGCCTCTCTTACTTTGGTCTCAGGAGTCTGGTGGTCAGAGGGACCTCCTAACTGTTCAGAGGTGCAGAAAGCAAATGGCTCTGTTCTGGAGTGAGTCCTGCCCAGTTTCCACCTCCTTCATGCCAGTGCCTTAGGGCAGGCCTGGAAAACTTTGGCTGACTCTGGGAGCCCTCCTTTTGGGGTAGCCACACTTGGAGCTAGGCTTGGGCCCCTCACTGTGGACACATGGTGACTGTAGACAGGGTAGAATGGAAACTCTGGTCTCTTCAAATCAGGTGAGTTAGGAAACGTGCTCTCCCCGTGAGGAATGCAAAGCTGACCTGCTACAACCTCATGGCTGAGTCAGTGTGTTCTCCTGTTCTCTGCTTCTGGTTGGCTGGCCCTTTGACTGCACTCCTGCGCATTCGACTTTGTATCCATTTGGCCAGCGGTTCCCCTGCCATTTATCTGTTACATCCAACTGTGTTTCCATCTGCCCTTGCACTCATCCATCCATCCTTCCCTCCTCCAACCATCTGCCAGCTCTCCCATCCATCTTTCAGACTGCTGGTATGTCTAACCATCCCTCTTTCCCTCCCACTATTTGCGTCTGAGACTCCATCCACTGGTCCATCCATCCATCCGTCTGTCTGCTTGTAACCTGCCCATTCATCCCATCGACCTCCTGTCTGGCTGCAGAGCCAGACCCCTGCCTGTTCCTCTAACCCCCACGGCCAGCTAATCCGTCCCGGCTGCCGTTCTCCTCTCCCTCCAGCCACCGCTCCCGGCCGGTCCGGTCGGTCCCTGCACGCGGGTCCGTGGCTACCTAATCGCCCC